CAGCACATAACCACCACCACCATCACATTCCTTACTTTCATAGGGGCTTTCTCCACTGTGGGTATTTCTATGTGATCTGAAACTTGAGAAATGGGTAAACCTTTCCCCTGATTCCTTATACTCATAGGGTCGCATCACTGTGGATTCTTCTATGTACAGTAAGGGCTGAGGCTCTTGTAAAGGCTTTCCCACACTGCTTATATTCTTAATGTCTCTCTCTACTATGAATTCGCTTATGTATACTGAGGGAAGAGGAACAAGTAAAGGTTTTTCCACATTCCTTACACTCATAAGGCCTCTCTTCACTGTGGATTCTTCTATGTGCTGTAAGATGTGAGGCCTGAACAAAGGCTTTCCCACACTCTGTACATCCATAGGGTCTCTCTTCACTGTGGATTCTTCTGTGTGCTGTAAGATGTGAGGTTCTTCTAAAGGCTTTGCCACACTCCGTACATTCATAGGGCCTCTCTCCACTGTGGATTCTTTCATGTCTTCTAAGGTGTGAAGTTGTTCTAAACGCTTTCCCACACTCCTTACATTCATAGGACTTCTCTGCACTGTGGAAAGTTCTATGTATTCTAAGGTATGACATGCTTTTAAAGGATTTCCCACACAACTTACATTCATAAGGCTTCTCTCCACTGTGGATTATTCTATGTGCTGTAAGATGTGAGGTTGTTCTAAAGGCTTTTCCACATTCTTTACATTCATAGGGCCTCTCTCCACTGTGGATTCTTGTATGTGTTCTGAGGCTTGAGGGTGTTAGAAAGCCTTTCCCACACTCCTTACATTCATAGGGCCTCTCCGCACTGTGGATTCCTCTATGTGTTGTAAGTTGTGAAGTTGTTTTAAACGCTTTCCCACACTCCTTACATTCATAGGACCTCTCTGCACTGTGGATTGTTCTATGTATTCTAAGGTATGAGGGGCTTTTAAAGGCTTTCCCACACTCCTTACATTCATAAGGCTTCTCTCCACTGTGGATTATTCTATGTGATTTAAGATGTGCGGTTGTTCTAAACGCTTTTCCACAATCCTTACATTCATAGGGCCTCTCCGCACTGTGGATTCCTCTATGTGTTTTAAGTTCCGAAGTTGTTCTAAAGGCTTTCCCACACTCCTTACATTCATAAGGCTTCTCTCCACTGTGAATTATTCTATGTGCTGTAAGATGTACCTTTCTTCTAAAGGCTTTTCCACATTCTTTACATTCATAGGGCCTCTCTCCACTGTGGATTATTGTATGTGTTCTGAGGCTTGAGGGTGTTAGAAAGCCTTTCCCACACTCCTTACATTCATAGGGCCTCTCTCCACTGTGGGTTCGCATGTGTCTCCTGCACTCTGAGGAAAATCTGAAGGCTTTCCCGCATTGCTTACATTCGTAAGGCTTCTCTCCGCTGTGAATTGTTCTATGTACTATGAGGCCTGAGACATTAACAAAGGCTTTTCCACATTGCTTACATTCATAGGGCCTCTCTCCACTGTGGGTCCGCATGTGTCTACTGCACTGTGAGGACAGTCTAAAGGCTTTTCCACATTGCTTACATTCATAAGGTTTCTCTCCGCTGTGGATTCTTTTATGTGCAGTCAGTTCTGAGGTATACCTAAAAGTGTTCCCACACTCCTTACATTCATAAGGTCTCTTTACACTGTGTAATGTTTTATGTCTCGTGAGCCTTAAGGCGCGGCTAAAGGCTTTCCCACATTGATTACATTCATAGAGCCTGTCTCCACTGTGAGTTTGCAAATGTCGACTCTGCTGTGAGGAATCCTTAAAGGATTTCCCACACTCTTCACATTCAAATGGCCTCTGTGCACTGTGAATTCCTATACGTCCAGGGAGGAGTGATGCCTCACCAGAGACTTTCCCACACTCCGTATAGTCATGCGGCCTGTCTCCACTTATCTTACATTTATGAGTATTTTTCCCACCATGAGTGCTCACTGGAGTGGTCAGGTGAGAAGGACACCTGCAGTCTTCCCCACAGTCTGGACACTGAGAGGTACTGCTTCCAGTGTGAGCTCTAATAGGATTGTTCTCTAGGGAATGATCCAGGAAGGCTTCTCCATACTCACAGCATTCAAAAGGATCTACGTCTGTGGGATCTACTCGATGCACAGAAAGACCAGGAATTGGGCTGGAGATTTCCCCACACTGGTTGTGTTCAGAACGTTCACCCAGGTTCTTGATTGCACCAATTCTGTTAAAAACACGTAGTGTAATTGTAAACCAATGGTGTCCTCTGCAAACTACTCCATTTTCAACAAGGAGACAAGAAAACAAAAGTCAGTTATTGTGTTGGAAACAAATGTTGTCCCATGACAGCATTAGCAAACACAGTGAACGTGCATGTGTTTTTCCTGAATTGTCTCAAGATTCATCTAGGACAAGGACTACCATTGCCGTCAATGTGTAAGGCTTCCTGCTCATTGTGTCCAAGTGAAATATGCTTGAAACATTGCACTGACTTATACTTATGAAAATCTTCTTACGTGAATTTTCACGGAACCCATCATTTTATAGCCAGGATTATACACATATACATATACACATGGGTCCTGATGAAGGATTAACACTAGGCGGCAAGCTAGATTTGAACCACAAAGTAGAACGACTCCATGGCATGAAATAATACCTACTCCTTGGAAAGTCAACAAAGGGTTGCTAAAAGTCAGAACTGACTCGGCAAACACAACACATATACATCAGTCGGCTTCAGGGATTCAAACCACTTTGGAACAACTCAGCAATTTCCAACATAAATGAGAAAAGTGTCCAGATTGCATAGCAATCAAAACTGTTGCTTAATAGGATTTGATTTGATGAAGAAAAAATCACTGGTACTGCATTCAAGGATGGTGAGCAAACCACCAATATGAACGTGTCGCTCTACACACTCCTGCAACACCAAACACCTGCATGGATACGAAGAGTCTTACATCACAGACTGGATATGTCATAGGACTCTGGAGATCAACAAACATTTAGACCTGTGCAGCCTGCCACCATATCTGAATGGCACACTAATGACGGTGTCTTAATTGACTCACAATTTAAAAGGAAAGAGACTGTTGGGAAACGCATATTCGACCTTCCTTTGTCCAGCAATTCCTCAATCAAAATTGTTCACAGAATGATGCAATTGAAAGACGATGGAGTTCTCCATGAACTATTTGGAGCTCCCTCATTTCAGTGTATGTTGATATTATGACACCTCCTGAGATTCTGTGAAGCACTAATTTCTGTTGTTTGCATCACACTCACCTCAAATGTCTCCCCTGGTTGTGAAGGTGATCCTTCCAGCCATGTGATTTCTTGATTGCACCTGGGATGCATAATAACCAGGTGTTACTCTTCAGACATTGTATGATTAATGCTCACTGGGAACTTTTCTCCATCATTAATGTTTTCAGCCACTGATCCAATCATTCAGGTTAAAGTCCATAATTAGAGTTGAATGGGAATGATTAGGGGAAACAGAGGTTCCCAGTAAAAAAGACTCAGCCCCATTTTGCTCTTCCAGCACTTTGACAAGTCTTAAAATGCAATTTACTAGAAAATACTTCTATCAGAATGGAGAGGGACAGTAACATACACAGGTATCATTAGGAGAGCTAAGTAGAAAGGAATTGGACTTGCCACACATGTAACGTTACAAAGGGAAAGGGTCTCCGTGTCCACAGGTGGAAAAGGACAACTAAAATCAACAGAATAAGTTCAGGTATCTGTGAAGTTGGGTCTACAAGCCAAAATAAACTTTTTGAAGCTAACTGATTTCCTTCATTCATGGGCTAAAATTACATTTCCTCGGGCTTCCTGACACATGGGCCTCAGTGACTGTGATTTCCAGTCTCCTCAGATTTTTCCTTAGCTTCTTTGAGAAAACAAATGGGTAGAGCTACCACAGAGCTCAGGAGTCCCAGTGTGGTGGTGTAGGATAAATCCCCCAGTCGCCTCTAGGAAAATGTACACAAATTCCCTCAGCATTGAAATCAATGCGATGGCAGTTCACAACAACATGGGGCTCATGGAGAAATGTACATTGCAAGGAAGACCTTGATGACCAATGAAAGATTCCTTGTCACCAAGATAGTACTCTGTTCTCTAGAAGCTCTGATGATTGACAGATGTGAGTTCATTTGCATAAAAATCATGACATCAAACTGGCCAGAAACTCAATAAATGTCTCGAAAGGCACTGACACAAGTCTCTCAGTGCATGAAAGTGTCCTCTGAAGTCAATGCTT